ACTAGCAATAGTATGGAAATTATGGCACTAGATTAATCTACCTTAAAATTTTAGGAGCCCACCTTGACTATCTTTTCTCCTGCAAGTGCTTCAACTCTGCGAGGTACCACAGCCTCAGTAATACCCTTTCCAAGACCAAGCTGTCCCCGCTTAGACTTTCCCCATACCCACACAGAACCATCATCGCCAACAGCGGCAGAAACAACACCAGATGCAAAAGCAGCACAAACATTCACATGATCCAACCCTTCCACTCTCTTTGGATCATTCCATGAATCTCTGCTCACAATCAAAAGCAAACAACAATTAACCATTTTACATTAGGATAATTCATTCAACCCCATGTGCACCCCTAATAAAACTTTCTATCCAGCAACAAAAAACTTTCTTGGCTGAAGTTTCACAATAATCAAAAACATTGATCACCGTTAAGGAATATTGATTTGAGAACTAGGTTGAATGTAATTCCAACATACAAAACACATTTACAAATTTAGCATAGAAGTTTTAGTCCATTGCTCTAACAATGTTAACCTAGCTTTGACATTATAAATACTAAATAGGAATCAAAAACAAATTTTCCCACCAAATTAAAAACCGAGTAAATGAGAAAATCAACATTTTATTCAACTGACCTCGGAGCAAGTGGATCACGACCCAGCTGAGCCTCCTGGTTACGTCCCCAAGCCCAGAGTCCACCTCGAGAATCAATAGCAAGCGAGTGATAATGACCTGCGCTGATGCTGGTGATATCGGAAGGGAGACCGGATATCCGGGTGGGCTCGTAAGCGTCGCCTCCGGGACCCGTCTCCGAATTGGGTAGACCCAACGCCCCCTGGGCTCCGTCACCAAAGCTCATCACCGTACTCATCCATCTTGGTTTATTAGCAGTAATCTGAGCCAATAAGCCTTTAATTGGAACTGCAACTGCCGTTTTATTCCTTATATGATGCCTCCATAAGAATCGCGTCAGGTGCATCTTCACATTGTGAGCGCGTTGGCAATGGCGGATCCGCCAGTGTAAACTTGGGAAATGAGCTGATGGGTTGACCCAGCGCGAAATTGGGTCGGTTATGGACTTCGGTTTAATTGGATCTAACAGAAGTCGATTAACTATTGCTAATTGGTCTTTTTTTTTTTCTTTTTTTTCAGTATGGTGAAAATGCTAGGGTGCAAACTATATTTCAGTATGGTATTTTATTTAAATTTTAATGGGACTTTTATATTGATGCTTCTAATTTTTTGATGATAAAATTATTTTTTAATCCAAATTTTGGCTGACGTAAGATTCATGAAATAGTGACTTCAAATGAAATTCATTTTTAATTTGCATTTTAATTTTACATTAAATTATTAGAAGAAATAGAAATACTTTAGAATAAATTATAAAATGGTAGTAAATAATTTATATATTGAATAATGGAATAATGCTAGATTAGTTTTACTCTTGCTCTGAAGTATCATAAATTGAACCTAGCAATGAGTAGGAGAAATGCATAGTAACAAATAGAAAGATGTTAGAAGTGGAAATGTTCTCCTCCTTTTCGACATTTAATCGTACATAAAGATGTCAGTGAGTATCCTATTATAGGGTACTTGCAGTTATTCGATCAGGTTATATAGAGTTAGAATACTTTACAATCAAGTTCGAATAATAATTTTACTACTCGTATTAGATTTAGGTACCACCATGTGGATACTCGATACTTGAACTATATTATATATTTTTTAATTTTATATAATTAAAGATAAACTTATATTATTAATTAAATTAATTCATAAAACTATAATTATTAATTAACTTATAATATCTTTGAATACATATATTTTATATATTGTGTTAATTTATAAATAATACAATTACTATTATATATATACTTTTAATATATCTACTTTATATATAAACATGTTTACTTTTTATTTTGTGTTAAAGTTACAGAAATTATAACTTATAAAATTATTGTTTATAATATATACTTTCGTGTATATAAACTTATAAAATATATATCTAAAATGAAATTGTAAGATTAGAGTAATTTGGGAATAAAGTTATTTTTTTTAATTTCATGGACAAACTCATACAGTTAATTAAATTTGTAGTATTTAAGTTGTTGTTTGAATATTTATTTTTAATTATTTAAGTTGATATTTGATATGTTTGTTTTTGATTATTTAAATTTAAATTTTATTATTTATGTGCTTTTATAAATTTAATTATTGGTGAATTATATGAAATATAGATGAAAATATTATTGTATATAGATATAGATATGGATTTGGGTTCCGATAGTTGGATATCCATGAAGAGAATTTTAATAAGTTTTTTTACATAATTAGATTTTTAAACAGATTCGAGTAATATCGGATGGTGATTATGTATTAGAGTTCAGATTAGGGTACTTAATTTAAAAAATATTCACATAATTATCGGATTCAGGTATTCTTTTTTTTTTTAATAAAATTTGGATTCGTATACTTAAAAATTGACGGATATCCTACCCGACAACATCCCTATACGTATATGAGAGGTATCAAAGTTGACATAAATTTAAATTAAAGTGAATTTCTCTTTTTTATGGATAAAAAAATTAATACAGAAAAAAAATTATATAATTGAGTGGAGTAAAACGTCACGATCACACATAAGAATAGGAATAAATTTTGAATTCATAAATAAGATTTTTTTTAACATATGTTTTAAATTGAAAATGTGGGTATTGGTCTTGAATTATGTAAAAAAGAAAATAGTATACCTCTAACAGAGATACAACTTTAGATAGATACAAGTCTTCACCTCATAACTAGTAAAAATTTATACAAAGTCAAAACATGTGTGATGCCAAACTATCTGCTGGACCCTGGACTGAGTTACTAAAAGCTTCATTAGCAGAATAGCACTTGGAGCAAAATCTATGTGTCAACAGAACTTGATTCAAGTAGACCTAGGGAGCATACTGTTAATCTAACAATATCCAGATTTTTTTGAGACCTGAGAATCAACCAGGGAAAGAGTAGTGGTTAAGAGCCAGCCATGTGGCATTGGGGTTTCTGCTGTCTGTTACTGTCTTCAGGGCAATATCTCTTATCCAGTTAATCAATCTACGTGTTGACTCCTTGTTGGACAACCAAATCCCAACGTAATCTCGAGAATAGCTTGGGCTCTCATTTCATCCACCAGGATTTCAAGCCCGCAAGTAGTGGCTTAGGTTGGCCCTTATTTCCTGCCTTGTTTCATTGAAGGCGGGAGTCAGACTACTCCTTGGCAGAGTTTCCCATCACACCAAAAAGGCTTTAAGGCAAAGTTTGCTGTAAAGAAACATGGCAACACAAGCACTCGTATCATCATCTCTTACCTCCTCGGTGGAGACTGCCAGGCAGATTCTAGGAGCTAGACCACTCCAATCCCCAGTTGGTTCTTCAAGGAAGGGATCATTTGTCGTTCGGGCAGCTTCTACTCCTCCTGTCAAGGTCTCATTGTTCCCATAATCTCGCCATTTATACAGTCAAGTTTGTCTTTTTCTTGGTTGTTTTTACTTAATTAGATTCTGATTACTCCGTTAATGTGGCATTTTCAGCAAGGAGCCGACAGACCCTTATGGTTTGCATCTAAACAAAGCCTTTCATACTTGGATGGCAGGTAAAAATAAACAGATGGAAGCAATTTACGGCAGAACCCTGATGCTGGTTTCACCTGAGATTTTTGTTGGCATTTTGCTATACTGATAGGTTACTCTTTTTCTCTAGCATTGACATCTAGATCAAGTGTTCTAATTTTTCCGATTTTCTCATGTCAATTCTACAGCCTTCCAGGTGACTATGGATTCGACCCATTGGGGCTTTCAGACCCTGAAGGTCCAGGAGGGTTCATCGAGCCCAGATGGTTAGCCTATGGTGAGGTCATCAACGGCCGTTATGCCATGTTGGGTGCAGTTGGTGCCATTGCCCCTGAAATACTTGGGAAGGCTGGACTGATTCCTGCAGAAACAGCCCTCCTTGGTTCAGTACTGGTGTGATCCACAGCAGGAATACAACTACTGGGCTGACCCTTACACTTTGTTTGTGTTCGAGATGGCACTCATGGGATTGCGGAGCACAGAAGATTCCAAGACTGGGCCAACCCAGGTTCCATGGGAAAACGTATTTCTGGGATTCGAGAAGTTATCTTGGAGGTTCTGGAGAGCCAGCATACCCAGGAGGACCACTCTTTAACCACTTGGACTCGAAAAGATGAGAAGTCATTGAAGATTTGAAGCTGAAAGAGGTGAAGAATGGGAGATTGGCTATGATGGCAATCGTGGGTTACTTTATCCAAGGCCTTGTGACAGGAGTAGGGCCATCAGAACCTCCTGGATCACTTGTCTGACCTTTCAACAACAATATCTTGACTAACCTTAAGTTCCATTAGACAGTGCATGCTTTGTTGTTGCATGGAACTATCCAGGCTCCACCTCCTCTTTCGTTCTTATCCTTTCTTGATCCCTTTGTAACATGTGAAAATTTATTCTGTAATCTGTGAGAAACAACGAAATGGACTAGTAATGCCTCTGTATCATCAGTATCCTTTTCATCTCTGTTGCTGAATGATATATCTGTCTCTTCATTTATCTAAACTATGGGACGAATGAAAATCCTGAAATGAACGCTCTTTGTTTGTATTTTTCATTACGAAGAAAGAAAATAGATATTAGGCAGCCAATTTTTTTTATGATTTTACTTGCATCCTGGAAAGAGGAAAAACCCGAACTGAAAACATCATTATTCAGGTATATAGCAAACAAAGTATAATATATAGTTTTCTTTCATCTTGCAAAACAGAGAAAAAGAACATCTTTCATCATATGCATTTATCGTTCCGGAGATCAGCTGTGCAAAATATTAAAAGAGAATTTGAACAATAGAGAACTGCTTCCTGCGTTGGGTTCAATTCAACAGATAGCACATTCTTCTGATATAAAAGCAAGCTGCGGAGCAGTTTCTCATACCCTATTAGTTCATTTTCCTCCATCACCTTTGACCAAGAAAATTCACATAGGGATGTGAGAGAAAATTAACATTTCCTATTACATACCGGAGATAGGATAGTCCTAATTATTCTGCTATTGTTTTGGACTAAAAGTGGTAATCATTCAGTCAAATCAAGAATATTCAGAAGGACTAAAACAACAATAAGAGCATTTGATGTCATCAAGAAATAATAACGCTTTTAAGCATATATTTAAAGGAAAAGCCTCCATAGCTTTGCTGTAATAACAGTCTGTACAGAGAAGGCTCATTGAGATCTTCAAATCAGGAAAAGAAAAAAACGATGACTGCTTCAGGGTTAGACCCTCTGCCCTCAGCTCAAAGATGAAATTATGGACCTACTCTTTAACTAAACAGCCTGAGCAACAGGTTCATCCGTACTTGACGCTTCTAGCCTGAAAATTGAAAATAGTCATGAACATAGTATGAGCCCTGAATTAGAAATATTATTGCAGGAATAATATAGTGAGCAGCTGATATAGCCCCTCACTGCTCCCCTCTCTCCCCCCCCCCCCCCGTTTTTTTTCTCCAAACCTTCCAAAAAATCATAGACGCTTGCACTCGCTCACCCACACAAATAAACAAAATAACATTACTATTAAAAGAACATTATCACATGAAAAAGCATAAATACTATGGCTATACTTTGAATTCCTTCTCCAACTTCCATTCTGAAAAAGTTCCCAATCTTCACCGTTGAGCCGACTTCCTTGATAGATTATCCAAAATTGTCTGGAGCAGGGTATAAAGTTTTAATCAACTATTATAATTTTAAATCACATGCACATGCATAGATATGCCTAGCAACAAGCATTTAAAGCACACAAATCTTCACACCCACCAAAGTATCTATGTGGGGATACAGACAGAACATTCCACCAAGTAAGTACAGCCTATTCTCCATAGGTTGGCAGATTAGCACCGTACTGAACTAAGTGCACCAACAACTAATAGGTACTAAGTCCTAAGGAATGCTAATTCCGACAGCCTCAACTTTCTAAACTAATACCTCTTTAGCCCTCTGGAGCTCCCAATCCCATGAAGAAATGAGGCACAGCTATGTTCAAATCAGTAGGGGAGGTTAAGTTTAAAATAAAACAACCACACGTACCTTTATACTTAGAGAGTCATTTAAGAAATACTTTTGCTCCATAAGAACAACCTCCTCGAAGTATTTACGCAGACGACCTTCAACCATTTTCTCCACAGCCATCTGAGGCTTACCAGTACTTTCAGCCTGACAAAAAAAAAAAAAATCAATTGGTAACCCTAGAAAATAAATTAGGATTGGATGGTTACATTACATTGTACATGTTTCATCAATATAAAAGTTAAAACTACTTCCAAAGAATTATTTTTCCATTGGTAAAAACCATGCCATCCAACAACAACCAGGGCCTAGGCTGATAGAAGGTTTGTATGTTCTGAGACTTTATGCATGCACATTGCTATTGATTCCAAATGACATTTATCACACTAGGAAATGGAAGAAAGATATCCCATACATATGTAAACTCAGCCATCAAATGACAAAAAAGGAAGAATAATATATTATGTGTTAAATGATTCGACAACTAAACCAAACTACTAATGGGATCAACAACATAAATCTATTTCTTTCATTGTGGTTCATTTACAACCAACACATTCTATTGAACAAAAATCTTCTCTACACCTGCAATAAAACCCTCTTTCTCATTTCGGAGGAGGCATTACTGACCTTCATCAAAGACATAAAGCATAGAAATCATAGCTATTAAAACTCATTCTCATTATTAACCCTGTAAAGGATTTTGGTGAGGTTGAGTCACCAGTTCAGCCTGATGGTCAATGGGTGAAACCAATAAATAAACAAATATTACGTACTAATGCATTGCCTACTAATTAAAATACTTAATACTATATAAAAATCCACTCTTTAACTTGTAAGTTGCAACCTACACTGGCACAAGACCCAGTGAAAAGGTTTTATCCAGTAACACACATGACCAGGGTTCAATTCCTGCCCCAGTCACTCATGTGACTTTAAACTACACAATTGCAGAAGAGTCAAACTGGTTTTCCCATCTGGATCTTTATCAGGTCGGGTTTACAAGTGTGACCAACTTCAACCAGGTCTTTCACAGTTCTGTCCTAAAGTAGAGCACAGAACAGTTCCAGACATGGACTTCAGAGCAGTGGTACCAGCCGTAAAGGCTAGTCCAAGTTTAATAACTACACTAACAATGACGTTCTGGTCCTCTCCTTGTTTGCATTTAAAGAATGCATGAAAGATTGTGATGTCCTTATCCAATTCCGAACTATACCAACTGGATGAGTATGTTTTCTCTGACTGCTTAGCACTAGATCAAGAGACTGCAAGGTGACATAGTCTTTCCTCACTTCCTCCAATCTAATAGATTTCCATCAATTATGCAACATGTAAAGGCATGAATTTATCCACCTTCCACTGCTTGGCCTGGTGGTAACCAAGACCATGCAAGCCATTTTAGCTTGGGTTTGATACCAAGCAACTATTATTCCCCATGTCTAAATCTAGTATATATCCATCAATGATGCAACATGTTAAACAATGAATTATCCTCACGAAATTAAAAGAAAAGAAATTATCCATGCCAGATGCTTCGACAAGGAAAGAAGGAAGTCATGTAAAAGACAAACTATAAGTCTGGCATCCATGATATAATGGGATTTGAAAAAATACTAACAATAAATGCAACTAAGAGTGGAATTACAGGTACCTGAGACCTTAAAATCTCGCGTTCATTATTAAGTGCATCAGAGGTTACAAGTTCCTTTGCCAAGAATAATGGCTTTGTTGCCACAATATGCATTGCTAGCTCTGAGCCAACCTTCTGAAGGGCATTCAATTGAGAAATCCCATTCTCTACTTCAAGAGATAAAATTCCAGCAATTCGGCCCAAACCTACATTTATATAAAATAATTAAGATAACATGTCAAAAGATAGAGGGAAATGCATTCTATATCCATGTGGGCAAGTATTAATGCATGTTGCAACGGAAGGATAGAAGCATAAAACCAAACCTGGTTGAGGACTTCTATGGAGGTATGCAGAAACAACACCATTTGGAGATGATGACATCACAAAACCCCTCCTGAGTTTTACATTCTCTCCCATCATTGCAGCCACTTCTGTGACTGCATTTTGAACAGTTGTCTCCCCACTGATTTTTGGATGTTCAAGATTAAATTTGAGGTCCTGGTAGAAATTGAATGATTATGCAACTTCAGACAGTGCAATTCCAATTATAGTTGCAAAAGAGTGGAAGGTTGAAACAGCTATTTGATATATACTCTGACTAAAATCACCAACATAAATAATATAGGCTAACCTACCAAATCTTTTATTTTCTCTGGTTTCATAGGGATATGAATAAGTATTTCATGACATATGTAAACAAGAACGAGTTTAGAATAAAATTTAAGAAAATATCTATGATTACTTTTGACAACCATAACAAGAGAATCTACTTAGAAACCAAAGTTAGCAACAATATTTTGAAGAGATAACAATGCATTCATGACTACATACAGTCCACTTTTGCATACCCCTGAAAGAATGGCAGATATGTTCATTAGTTGAGGTTCTGCAAAAAAAAATTTTTCCCCAACAAAGTTTAAATTTTAATTGCATGTCCTTTTCCCAACAATAACTATGGACTAAGATCTGGTATGCCAAAGGGTAAAAATGAACATCATATTTCATCCTGATTCAATAAGAAAAAATAATAAGCTTTTAAAGGAACTTCTCACCTCTAAACACTCTGGACCAAAGGAAAAAACCCCAGGAACCTGTTGGGAAAAATTCTCAACCAACAAAGCTTGCTTTGCTAAAGCCAAAGCCTGTGTAAAAGACAACACTGATAAATACAAGCAATAAAGACTAGCAAAATAAGAACAGTCATACAACAAAGGGTAACAGAGATCAAAAATATTCATATGATATAAAAGAAAAAACCTCCCACAACTGACTTCAAATGAGATATTGCGGTAACAAGAGAATCATTAACCCCCACTAACCAAGAACTCAAAAATTTCATTCCTTGCAACAAAATCAGTCTCGCAATTAAGTTCAACTATAGCAGCCTTGTCCTCATTCTGGGCAAGAGCAAGCAGACCCTCTGAAGCAGCCCTCGATGACTTTTTCATGGCCAAAACCTTTCCTCTTTTCCTTAAATCCTTCTGTGCAGCCTCTGTATTCAATCAAAATTATAATCCAAGAAATTAATATAAACCAACCCAAAAAGGTTAAAAAAAAAGAACTTCATATTCTGATAAAAACAAGAACTGGGTATTTTCTATTTTATACCAATATCCCAATTGCAATCAACAAGAGAAGCCTTGACATCCTTTATGGGTGCACTTGTTCTTTCCCTAAGTTGCTTGATAAGGCTAATTTGTTCAGCAGAAGAAGATGCCTGAGAGCTTAATCTTCTTGAAACCCAATAGAAGTAAGCAGTTTTGGAGACTTTGGTATCTGAAGAATGAGCAAAGGAGGTTCCTTTGGTTGCCCAAGTAGAGTATCCATGCCCACCACAACTACTCAGCCTTGTATTGTGCAATAAGATCTCCAGTGGACGCTTTGCATTTCTCAAGTAAGCCATTTTCTATATCTGATATATTGCTGTAAATAATGATATTTCAAAAGCAACCAATCAAAAGTGGATAGAAAAACCAAAAGTTCCTGTTAAAATCAGGGTTTAAGGGTTTTAGAGAGAAGCAAAAGTTATACATGATGAATAAAAAGATTTCAATTTGTTATTTTACTTCACATGAAAAAAAAAAGGGAAAAAGAGGCTGACCTTAGAATAAAACAAGTGTGGATTTGCAAAGATGCGGAAATTTAACAATGAAAACTTTGATGGAACACTTAAAGGTATAAACCTTCACCTCAGTTTATGCGATAGTGCTACTTGTGTGCTGCCTGGTGTCTGAGCCTAGCGTGGCTTGAGATGGGTTGGAACTGGGAAACACTCGACCAAATGGGCTGGAGACCCGGCTGATTAGATCCATGTGAACCCAAATGATGCGGCCTTATCCAATATATTTAGGCTAAAAAAATAATTAAAAAAAAGAGAATATAATACTAATCCATAATCTATAACATAATATAAAAAGAAGATCCAAAAGAGTTTTCAGGTTGGTTCACATTTTGGTTTTCTTTAAATGACATTTAATTAAATATTATTTTAAATATTATAATTTATACATGTAAAGAATTTTTAGGGGATAAAATGTGACATTGTAAGTTGTATATGTATAGAGGGCATTTTGGGATTTTAGTCAATAGATTGTGTGAAATTGAGGGTAATTTTGAATTTTAATGTGTAAAAGAAGGGTTCTTTAGGTTTTTCACCACATTTGTTCAGTAGCTCTATATCTAGGCTCATTATTATGCCACTGCCAGAGATTATAAAGGAGAAGTTGGTCTTTGACTCTTATAGGTTGGAGAATTGTAATTAATTGTTTGTGTGCAATACGTTTGATTTGGATTAATTTTTCTTCTTCCATTGAAAATTGTAGTTCATCTCTATCTATCAATCTTTTTTACCTCGATTTTATCACTTTTACTTAGACTTTTTTTTCTTTCTAGAATTTTTTTAGTTGCCTATAAATTTATTTTTTTTTTGTTTCTTTTATCTTTCACTCTTTTGTTTCACATTTTGTACTGCGTTTGTTCTTCGTCTGTTGCTGTTGATTTTGGTTAGTTACCGAACCGCAAGGACTTACTTTGTTTTCTTTTAGGTAAGGTAATTTTTAGTTTATTATGTTAGCCTTGTTTATCAGTTTAATTTTGATTTTTTTTAAATGAGTTTTTTTATATATAAAAACCCATATCAAATAGTGCTTAATTCATTTGCTATTTAGTTTTTTCATGCATTTTTAACAATTTAATGTTCATATTAGATATATAAGTTCCGCGATTAATTTGTTAATGTTTTTATTTTTTAATTAACATGTCATAAGTTTTGTATCTATTTGATTCTTCTATTTATTATTCATCTTCTCCGATGGAATTGAACGTTTGATGAAATTTATAGTAAGACTTAACTTCCTTTCGCATCTAATGTTTCAAAGCTCAATTGAATATTCATCTTTTTATCAGAATTATCATTAAAATTAAAATCACAAAAACAATTAGATGTTACCTTAATTACCATACAAATCAAATAAAAAACTAAAACTAAAACTCAAACAATAAAACAATTGACTAAAAGAAACAATTTCCTCAATCCAAACTCTTAATCCTACTCTTCAAAAACCAAACCCCAGATTTTCGGAGTCTTCATTTTTCCATAGTTAAAACTTTATATCAACCCAACAATAGGTGTGGTATTGGTATAAAAATATTGACTAAAAATGTCTACTGGAAGAAATATACATAATAAACTGTTCACTTCAACAGTGGACAATACAAATTCAATATTACGACTGAAACAAAAATTCACCTTATCAATCCTCTGTACAAAAATTCAACTTACTGCACACCCAAATAATCAAGTTAGAACAAAAAATCAATATCTTATACAAGTCAAATCGCTACAATTATTGTTTTAAATAAATTACTACAACTAATTGAACCACAGAAGTAAACTTATAAATTTGAAACTCTAAAAAAAAAAGAATTAATTTTTTATCTTCTTATTATCAAATAAACAAACCATAAATTTATTAAATGTATGCTCTTGCTGCCTTTTAGCGTTTCAAAAAGTTAATTGTGAGATTTTTATTAAATACCTATATATCCATGTATAATTACACATTTGAATTGTATATAATTTTTATTCTTTAACATTTGTGTAAACTATAAAAGGTTGTTAGTTCAATAAAGTTTTGAAAACTACATTACTTAAAGTTAACAGAGGCTTTTCCTGTGTGTTGGCAATGGTATTTCCTACTATGTTTCTATTTTTTCTTTTTTTTTTTGTTTATATGCTTTGCTTTATGTAATTTTTGCAATCACAATTTATACCATTTTTTATTATTTTTAGTATAATTTTTTTAATAAAAAATAAAATTATTGAGATTTTTTTATTTTTTTGTCATACAATTATATCTGCTATTTACTTTTTTTTGTAAACTAAACAGGTGGTTGATTCTGCAAAGTTTAAAGATCTTCGTAACGTTGCGTTTGCAGGACCAATTGGTATGTATAGTCAACTTTTTCTTATAACATCTTTTCTATTTAATTTGTTTA